CCATCGCTTACTACTGCGACCAGATTCAACCGCTGTGGATAACGTACACTGAACCAGGAACTACAGAGCCTAAGGTACGTACATTGTTCTCTAGACCCACTTCTGTGATCGATGCTGAACATTCTTGCTTTAATTTTCAGTATTTCATTGGAAATGTAGACAACAAAGCTACAGTCTACAACACTTTGCCAATCCCGATCAGAACACGTCACATCAGACTAATCGTGCAAGAATTTCAGGTTCATCCATCGTTGAGAATGGAGCTGTATGGCTGTTAGTACGACTTAGAAAGAAGACTGGAACAATGACCACAACTTAGCACAAGAGAAATTAGATCACGTGATTTACTGARTCTAGATTATTACAATATACAGCAGCATCCTAGTCATGTGGGATGGCCTCGATAATTATATATGAGCATGCGCAACAGGTTAATGTCGAGCTTAATGGCTACCATAATTGCAGTGAAAGGGATATTATCATTTTCGTATGAACGACTAACCATGAGCCAGTAATAAAATCTGACTATGCAAATACTAGTCTTCAAGTGCGGAGAGTATGATGGTTCGAGGGCCTTAGGTCTTTTCTGGTTGCGATGAAAGGGATCAAAATCAAATTCAAAAACCTTTGATTGATAACTTTAAAAGCGGTTTTCCTGAAAAACACTGTCTGTCATTGCTTAAATGTCTTGTATGAACACAACATACAAATTTTCATGGCGCTCGTTGGTTTATCTCAACAAATTCCAGCGAAATTTAAACTTTTTCATTTGAAATTTGTGTGGAATCACTGTGGACTGTTTGCGTATGCGATTAAATCGTTTCGCTCATGCGAAAAAACTACTAGTAAATAAATAAGTGTAGTGATATATTCACCTCGCAGTCAAAATCACTTTGTGTACAGCAACCAAAACATCAGTAGGATAACTGACCCAACCAGAGTTGATCCGAAAGAGAGTCAAAATCGGGCGCAGCGTGTCTCCAGGCTAATAGAAAAGCCTTGACTTTAGATACMTGACCGTGACAACACGCACAAAAGCCCACAGCACCTCGATACCAATTAAAACTGTTATCTGTTATTACTTATGGCTTCTGGAAAAATGGCTGTCTGAATAGGGCACATTAATTAACTTAAAGATTTATAATACAGCTGCTAACTTAATGCGTAGTTTGGACACACTACAAGAGTTTAACTAGATACGCAATGTCCCTGAAAGAATGGCAATGGATTTTCGAGCCCATGACAGCAAACATTTCTTTACTTTTTATTGCCTACATTTTTGTTTTTGTCATTTATTTCAACTATTCATTCTGTACATTATTCCACTTTCCTTTGCGCGGCGCAAACATGCTTGAGACAGTGACGTTAAGTCCAGCTTCTGGTTCTCAAGGGAAAGRAATTTTATCTTTGTTTTTAAACTAAATTTGTAAAAAGAGTACCGGTCTTGGTTTCCGAAAGACCAAYCATACAGTTAAGGAAGTAAGCAGAGACGGAGGCAAAACGGGAAGCTTTGATTTGGTGCAAAAAAAATTGATCTTACGGACCTGAATTCATCTCTGTTGAGTCCTCTGTTCCAATGAATACATCATCGAATTCACTTTTTGTGATTTTGCCAGTTTTTAACTTTTTCACCAATCGCGCCTCATCRGCAAGTTCATCAAGCTCATCATCATCAAATTTATGTTTCTGTTTTCGCTGGAAGTCTCTTCTTGCTTTTCTTTTAGCTCGTTTTAAGACTCTTTCTTTGTTTTTAGACCAAGACYGATCATTAGTTGCCTTTCGTTTATTGTTCTTCTGTTTAGTGTTTCCATCTTTTTGTTCTTGTAGTTTGAGCTGTCGTTGTTTTTCGCGGATTTTTGTTTGGTAAGGGATTTTGTCGTAATCCATAATCACCGGTGAAAATCCTTGTACATTAACGTCTTTTAACTCGGGCATTTTTGGTAGCTTAAGAAGTCCAAATCCCTCCGCTAGTCGACCAAGATCTAAGTCTAAACAGATAGGAAATAAACCACAGTTAGGGATAGTTAGTCACTTGAATGGAACATTAAAAGATTTTACACAATGTCGATAATGACCATTGAATTTCCGCTATGTTTTCCTCCGCATTTCACAATGTCATCCATCCATTCATTTGTATTTCACGTTCATTTTCCCATTCATTCTTCCTTTCATTTTTTTTCTTCTGTTATCCCATTCAGTCAATCATTTGGAAGTCTCCTTGTAGTAACGAGGCAAGTACCTTTAAATTTAAAAATAAGACTGCACTCGTGCTTGCGATAAGCCTGCACAAACGACACAAATGCTTTTGTTCCTTTTTCAAATAGATCCCTACGAGCAAAAATATATGATAAGAAAAATTTTTCATGTTAGAGTAATTTTACTTTTACAATGCTATTTCGTAAAAGGACTGTCTTGTGTTTGCTATTACCTATCTTTTGTAGCTAGCTTTTTGAATTTTGGTATAAGGTTAGGAAATTCTTTATCTATTTCCAGTTTCTGAAGTGGTACCTGTCAGTAAATAACATAATYAGTGGCACAAATCAAACAATTAATGTGACAAAACAGATAAAAGTAATCCATCTACACAAGTAAACGCATGCAACAAGCAATAATGCCGCTGACCATTCTACACTCATCACTAAATATTACTTACAGTCAACTCTCGCTATTACGGACAACCTCGGGACCATAATTTAGTGTCCGCAGTAGCGAGAGTACGTAGTAACGAGAGTCACTCAGTTTTTCGAGGGGGATTCAGTATTTTACTGTCCGCAATATCGAGGTGTCCGTTGTAGCGGGGTGTCCGTATAAGGCGAGAGTTGACTGTACTAATGAAAAGTACGAACCTTTTGATTTATGGATATAAACTGTACATATGAATCTTCTTGAGGCAGTAGAAAAACCACCGCATTCCCTTGGAAAAAAAATATAACACACTCATACAACTGAAGATAGCATAAGTTTTGCAACACATGCTCTGTCATAAAATTCGTTGTTTTGTTATCAAAATATTTAAGATTAATAATACCTTCATTTCCGATTCGTGCTGTTCTGCCACATCTATGTACAAAGGCACTGCAAATAAAAGACAAGAATGAAGAAATTTAACGCTAAACCAAAATACGTTTTCATTCCCAGTCTTGATCTGTACGAAATTCCGCATGGATCAATATCGATCGATTGATGGATGGACGTAATCAGTAAAAACGAACGAAYATAGGAATAACTATGGAAGAAAAGTTGAAAAATGGATGAATGACTAAAAGACAGAATGAATTGATGAATGAATGTGTCGAATGATCAATGCATCCCCTGATGTATATACATTGTGTAAAGGATTAAAGTTTAAATGAATCTTCAAATATCGTTGATAACTGCTAAATGAAAGAATGAAAGATAGAAATTTCAAAATAAATGAATGGATATGGTCTAAACTTTAGGGAATGTACAATTACATGTATAAATTATGGAAGACATGACAGAATTAATAATAAATAAATGAAATCAGTAAAAAGTGCAGTGAATGAGATGAAAGAGAGGGAATCAAAGGATAAATGAATGATTAAAAATATCATCAAATAAAAGAATGGAAAAGAAAGGGATATCTATGTTATTGGAATACTGACAAATTGGGGTTTGGAAATTAATCTTACTTTGCACTACTAGGAGGATCATACTGTATGACCCAATTGACTTCTGGGATATCTACTCCTCTAGCCATTACATCGGTACAAACAAGAACACCTCTAATAACAAAGAAWGTAAGATGTCAAGTAGGAAAACAGACACCAGTGAACTACAGACCAAAGTTTATTC